GGGGGGCAGCCGCATGCATCATGGATGTACGAGCGACGTCCATGACCATGCCAATGCGGCGCTCAGCAATCCCATTTTGCTGTGGAGAGGCCGGAAGCGTGAAGGTCTGGCGGATGCCCTGTGCACGTCAGAAGGCTCCCAGATGGGCAGAGGAAAACTCCTCGCCTCTGTCAGAGTGCAGACGCAAAACAGGAAAGTCCGAGACGAAACTCTCTCTGAGTTGGAGACGAGCTGCGCGGATCCAGTCGATCAACACCTCAGTGACCTCACCCTTGCTGCGCAAGGGGAAGACTGTGGTGTAACGCGAGTAGTCGTCAACCATCAACAGGAAGTAACGCTCGTGCCCCTGTCCACGGACGTGGGCGGGGCCCCACACGTCCATTTGGAGAGTCTCCAGCGGAGCCTCAGTCGGAGGAAACTCGGAGGAGTGAGGGGCAGCGCGCTGTCGCCCCTCAACACATTGGACGCAGGCAGGGCCAGGCCCTGAAGGTAGGGGAGGGAGAGACCGGGGGAGACCAGAGACAAGGACACGGGAGGCCATGCCTCGGAGACGAGGCAGGGAGGGGTGACCAAGGCGGTGGTTTCAAAGGAGAGTGTGGTGGGACAGGAGACGACACGAGCAGGGAGCAGACTCAGGACCAGACCTGGACGCTGCAGCAAACACCTGACTCGACGCAGCTACCTGGCCAGACTCAGCAGCCGGTGGAGAATCAGTAGTAAGGGTGTACAGGCTCGACCCTAGCCGACGGGTGAACGTGGCCAAGTGTCGGCCTGTCCGAGCACACGTGCAGTGGGTCACCCACTGGCTCGCAGGAGAGAACTGGTCAGCCCCCCATATCCTGTAGGTCCGCTCCACTCACCAAGTTCGTAGAGAACGAGGGGAGGTAGAGACCTGACAGGGTACCAGAGGGGGCTGTCGGGCACGGTAAGACAGTGGAGAAGCTAGCAAGGACAGGACCCCCAGAGGGGTCCGCCAGGGAGACTGCAACCGGCCGACTAAGCGGCGTGAGCGTGGTGCGGTCTCGAAAGAAGGAGCAGGAAGCACCCGAGTCAAGGGTGAAGGTGTGTAAGGCCTGAGCCGACGTAGTGCCTGAGAGAGCAAACTCACCAGCACCTGGGGCAGCAGACGCAGTAGCACCTGGGGTAGTAGACGCACTAGCACCTAGAGCAGCAGCCTCACCAGTACCTAGAGCAGTAGCCTCAATGCCCGTGTCAGGCGGTACACACAGGTAACAGTCACCCTCAACACTAGCAGTCACAGCATACATGGCAGCAAGGATAGCATCATAGTCAAGATCAAAGATGGCAACCCCCGCCCTAGACAGATCTCCCCAGCGAGGGATCTCTGACGCTTCAGGGAACTGGTGTCGCCACGCATCCGTCAGGGGGCCGAAGCAGCGCTGGGTGGAGTGCGGGCCCCCGCACTGCTCACCAGCGCGGTCGCTGGTACGGAAGACGTAAGTGCAGGGACCGGTACCCCCACCGCGCTGACGCGCAGCGTACCACTCACGAAGCTGCTGAGGGGACAGGGTCTCACGACCGCGCTGCTGCTGCTGCTGGTGCTGCTAGCGCGGACCACCACCGGACCCACTCCTCGGCGCAGAGTCGCGACCAGCTCCACCGCCGCCGCCGCCGCCGCCTCCGCCGCCTCCGCCACCTCCGCCACCTCCGCCACCTCTGCTCCCTCCGCCACCACCGCCGCCTCCTCCTCCTCCACTGCTGCCACCGCCACTGCCACCCCCGCCACCACTCCCACCACCACCCCCACCCCCTCCACTGCTACCACCACCACCTCCACCGCCCCCGCTAGCCCCTCCAGCTCCCTTGCCCCCCTTTCCCTTGCCGGTGCGGCGTCTCCCACTCGGGGCAGACTCAGCGCCGACCCCGTAGAAACCAACGAGGCCGGCAGCAGCAGCAGAAGCAACAGAGGGCAAGAGGGGGGAGGGGGAACACCCCTCAAAGACGGGGGTGCAAGGGTCACCACCAGAGGCTCCTACATCGAGTCTGCTCTTCTCTACTGCTAGGAGGCGCTCCTCGAGGAGGTCAACAGTGATTGTGGTTGGGCAAACTGAGAGGAAGTGGTCCCTGACTAAGCGAAGAGAGTCAGGGAGCCGGGTGACTATGTAGTAGAGGGTGATGTACATGGGGGGGGGGGGGGGTTCGTGGCGCAGAAATTAGTGGGAAGCGCAGCGCCGTAGCGAGTGTCACTAGTGCGGAGGTGCGTAATGAGGTCAGCGACTGTGGGAAAGGCAGCAAGGTCAGGGAAGAGGTACGGTAGCATGAGGCAGCTCAGTGCAGCAGTGGCAGGGGAAGAGTAACGTGCAACTACAGCGTCGTACAAGGTCTGAGCACTCTTGTACTGGCTAAAGTGCGCACGGTGAGTGGTCGGTAAGTGGCGACGCACAGCAAGACGGGCAGTAGCATCGTGTGTCGCCCACTGTGAGCGAACAGTGCTGCCAGTAGTGGCAAGCGGGGCAGGGGAGGCACCAGAGGTGAGGTCGAACAGGGAGAGGCCGTCTGCCCTATCGCATTGGAGGAACAGCTAGAGGTCATCGACCCAAACCTCAAAGTCAACAGCATGACCCTCAGTATCAAAGGTAAGAACACTAGGGGTAGCCATGACTGCAGTGGCCTAGCAAGGAGTGAGCTCACCACTCGGAGTAAGTAGGGCAGGGGCGCGCCGGTAGGACGAGGAGCGGCTCAACGGCAGGGCGGCTCGGCTGCTCAGCAACTCGGCTGCTGGGCGGCTCGGCTGCTGGGCGGCTCGGCTGCTGGGCGGCTCGGCTGCCGGGCGGCTCGGCGGTCCGGCTGCTGGGCGGCTCGGCGGCTCGGCTGCTGGGCGGCTCGGCTGCTGGGCGGCTCGGCTGCTGGGCGGCTCGGCTGCTCGGCGGCTCGGCGGCTCGGCTGCTAGGCTGCTCAGTAGGGGCGGCGTTGGGGCCGTTAGGGGTGGCGACGGGGCCGCTTAAAGAGGGGAGCGGCGACGGGGCCATGTAGTGGCGGCGACAGGGCTGCGTAGGGGCGGCAACGGGGCCGCGTAGGGTCGGCGACGGGGCCGCTTAGGGGCGGCAACGGGGCCGCTTAGGGTGAGGGGCGGCGACGGGGCCGCTAGGGGGCGGTGACGGGGCCGCTAGGGGCGGCGACGGGGCCGCGTAGGGTGAGAGGCGGCGACGGGGCCGATAGGGGCGGCGACGTGGCCGCTAGGGGCGGCGACGGGGCCGCGTAGGGGCGGCGACGGGGCCGCGTAGGGTGAGAGGCAACGACGGGGCCGCTAGGAGCGGCAACGGGGCCGCTAAGGGCGGCGACGGGGCCGCGGAGGGGCGGTGACGGGGCCGCGTAGGGGCGGCAACGGGGCCGCGTAGGGTTAGAGGCGGCAACGGGGCCGCTAGGGGCGGCAACGCGGCCGCTAAGGGCGGCGATGGGGCCGCGTAGGGGCGGTAACGGGGCCGCTAGGGGCGGCGACGAGGCCGCTAGGGGCCACTAGGGGCCTAGAAAGGGCGGCAAAAAAAATGCGCGCCTCGGGCAGGAGCGAGTGGCGCCCCGGTCAGAAAGGAAGTTTTCCGTGGTGGGCCCAAGGAAGCGTTCCCACTAGGGAACCTGCTCTATACCATGTGAAGAATGAGGAATGAATGAACTAGCACAAGGTTGGGTACAAGTAGGAAACCCTAGGAAACTGTACCCCATAGTGTCTACCCCACTATAGCCTACACAAGCTATATAATATGAGTTTGAAATTGCTCGACACAAAGAACTTAAGACTGCCCGTCGTACCAAAATTACGACCGCACTACTGTGGACCCTTCCAAATCAGCCACATGATCACCCCCGTCACCGCCCATTTAGTGTTGCCGACAGACTGGTACATTAGCACATCATTCCACGTCAGCCTGCTTCGCCCATACATCCCAACCACGAGCCAACTGCCTCGCCACCGCCCGCCATCCATGAGTCGCCCTGCATCAGAGCCGATCATCGAACCCGAAAAATCATGAGCCACCGGATTCGACACCCTACGTGAACCAGGAGGATTGAATTCCTCGTTCGCTGGAAGGACCGCACGCCAATTGAGGATAGCTGGGTGCCCCTGGCCAACATCGAAAAACCACCCTGCCCTGCAAGTGTACCTGAGGAGCCGGGGTTTCCACGATATACACGCACTCGCGTAACGGAGGGGACTTCTTGAGGGGGGGGGGGAGGTAGTGTAAGGAATTTTCTCGACATTCCTTAGCGCATCCTGCAACGTCGCGTACAGCAACAGCCGCTGTTCGCCCGTTTCTGCTAACGGGGCTTCGCCGACTTCGCGCCCACTGTTTCACCAAACCATGCACCGCTGGCCCGGCCGTATCGGCCTACACTTCGGGACTAGCCCGAACCTCAATGCTAGCCTAGCACTAGCTAGCTCGCACGCACCGCGTTACCGTTTGCATGTTTCGCGTATAAATGTTCACTCATGCCTTCGCTCACATTTTGTACTCGTTTGACACTTAGTGCAATCCTAGGTACCTTCATTGCACCCGTAACACACGCCTAAAACAAGTGTAAGGAATTATAATTCACTGTGACCGTACTTTAGGACACCCGTTTTACGACTTAAGACTTTCACAGCTCGTTAGTGACACCCGCGAAGTCACAAGAACAAGCATCGAGACTGTGTAGGGTGATCTAAATCTCTCTCCGGGCGCCTACATAAGGCGTATCGCACAAGGCATATCCCGTAAGGCATGGCGGAGCAGGCAGAAGCACCTCAGCACGAGTTCGTATACCGAATTAGCCCGGAAGCAGAATGGCGCGCGGCGCAAGCTGCTGGATGCTTCGTGGGTAGCGATTTCGACAGGCAGAGCGGGTTCATCCACCTGAGCACGGCCGACCAGGTCCATCCACGGTGACGCCCCCACCATGATGCTCCCATTCGCACGTCCACTTTCACAGCCACCAATCCTCGCTGCTGCTGCTGCTGCTGCCCGTGGTTTTCGCTTGCGTGGCAGGTGGGCGGCACGCTGCTGATGTTCTTCCCGGGGCGGGACGACCTCGTGCTGCTGCAGATCCGCGCACATGCGGTGAGCGCACGCGCGGGGAAGACAGTGGGGCGCGGGAAGAAAGGGGGGAACAGAAGGGTGGGGCGGTGGGGAGATAAGGGAGTGCGCGCGTGGCAGTGAGAGGGAAGAGAACGCGTCGGAGGTGTGAAGGGCAGTGAAGCGGGGTGAACAAGCGGGTGGCTGGATGGGGCGCATATGGTAAGGCAAGGTAACGGCGGTGCGGGAGAGGCCGAGATAGTAGGGCATGCTAAGCTCTCTCCATGTCACCGCCCCGCCCGCTTCTCATGTACCACCCCGTGCAATCGCTTGCTTCACGCTGCCTCCTCGCCTTGCTCGCATCCCCTGTCCTCTCCTGCCCCGGTTGCAGCTTGGATCAGGTCTGGTGTACGAGCCTGTGCCGGACCTGGGCCACTTCCCCCACTTCTACAGCCCTGCGCCTCCCGCCAACGCTTCTGCCAGTGGAGGCCGTGAAGGGGGGGGCGAGGGTGCAGGTGCGGGCGAGGGGGCGGGGAGCAGGGGCATGCCTCTTTCAGCTGTGGTGCAGGCAGTGAAGCTGCCACTCGCCCAGGGCGTGCATGTGCTGCCGCCCTTCCTCTCCGCCTCCACGTGACAACGTGCCGGCCAGCCCGGTCGCAATCGCCACCCTGTTCCCGTGGCAGCAATTTTGAATGCGAGAATAATGCTCACATTGAAGGGGCCACAGAAGGGGGCTTCGAAGGCAGATTCATGGTGCGCCACTGTGCGTGGTGCGTGCTTTGGCTCATTGATGAGGCAGTGAGGGGAAGGGCGCCCTGCAGGACAGATGACGCTCTGCTTGACCTGCCAGATTCATTTTTATTTGTGATTCAAGGGTAAGCTGTGCTGTGCAGCCATGTGTGGGGATTCGAATCGCCCAGAAAATGCACAAAGCATATGAACCAGAACAGAAGCTAGTATTTAGCAATGTACGCAAGTTCAGGTGGCTGTGTAACCTTCTATATCAACTTTATCCAGATGCAAGTCTCTGTTGTTTACAGAACATGTGGTTTTTGTGAGAAAAAAGGTAATGTATTCATAGTGTGTACCAAGTTTGGGAATTAAGACCGGAGGGTCAAGAAGCACGAAACTGGTTCAAGCTTCCTAACCTTGGTTGGGTGTGTTGGGAATATAAACGCATGACTTAGTGCGTTTCTGAAGTATCGAACCTCACCCGACACTGAAGCACAACAAAAGGGGTACGAAGTCGAAAGGGCGCGTACCACATCAAACCGCAACTGGAGGTTGCGAGCTGTAACCGCCTGGAGGTTACGTAACAGCAAGCGACGCTTCAGTGAACAGTAACAGCCTCGATAGTCGAAGCGTTACGCGTCTCGTTAAACACAACCGCTTCCTGTAATCTATCTTTCCTATATATTCCTGTATGCTCTTTGCTTTAATCAATTACTTGTTCTCACACACCAGCACAAGTACATTCACTCAAGTCTTCCGCTGTGCTACTCTAGCACCTACTAGCCTATTCTCTGCAAAGATCCTAAGGCTGAAATTCTCAGCCCAACATGGTCTGAGAGCAGTCAGAGAACAAGGCTCTCGTCACTTAGCCTCTCTCAGGCTACCAATCTGCAAGCAAACAAGAAGTTCAACCTTTATTCAAGAAAGGCAAGACATGGCAAGTGGCAAAGAAAGAAGGTCATCTACGGGATCTACTCTACCCCCGGTCTCCGAGCTGCAGACCGAAGGAGGAACAACGCTCGGATTAACGCCGGAAGCGACGGAACGATCTACTCAGGCGCCAGTAGCGCCGCCAACAAGCTTCGACCCAAGCTTAATGGAGCAATTCTTCAACTTCATGTCGCAGCAGCAGTCCTCACAACCTGCAAACAGCAACAGCGTAAACAACGGAGCGGCACCAATGAGTATTGACAACTCATCGTTCGGACGACATAATCAACAAACACCAAATTCAGTCTCACCTGGTTCCTTCACGTTTATGCCGCCTCGCCATCCAGCGACTCCTCTTCCCGCCATCAAACGAGACGCCGAAGAAGTCCTGCAAGTACAAGCACAGTTCAACAACATCTTGCGACTGCACACATCCACACCATTCAACGGGAAAGACTTCTATTCTTGGAGTTTCGAGTTTGAACTCCTGATGGAAGGCGCGAATCTTCTTGGATTCTTCAACGGTACCTGGCCATATCCACACAACGGCAAAGACAAAGACAAGGAAAATCATACTTACCACTCTCTGATGGCCTACACCGTACTTCTTCGAAATTTGTCGCCGAACGAGCAGCAAAGCATCCGCGTCTACCGAAACTACGCAAACTCCGCGGAACTCGCTTATCAGCATCTGCGAAGCATTCATCAAGCATCCGACAGCGTTACACAAAGCAGACTCATGGCACAACTGACAACAGTTCAAATGCAACCTGGAGAAAAGACCATGCCTGACATCAGTCGTTGTCAAGGACTACGCGACAGACTCGTTCGCTGCGGAGGAAACTTATCTGAAGAAGCGTTTGTAACCGTCGTTCTCGCCGGCCTTGGACCTCAATGGCGCACCACCCGTTCACTTCTTCGCGCTCACGGTCGACTCTCCGAGATGCATCTCTGCGCCGAACTTCACGCCGAGCAGCAGGAAATGGACCTGTTCGAAGAACGCAACAACAAAAGACATCATCAACCAGTCGTTCTTTACACCAATCGACGACAGCCAAGTTACCAAAATCGAAGACACGTACCTCCTTACTGTCATCTGTGTCGGACATCAGGACATACACGCCTCAACTGCCCTCAGCAGCAACGACAACCAGCATCATTCTCTCGTCCTCTGCGACCAGCACCTCCTCACATCGCGTCAACTCAACAACGTCACGCGACCGCCTCAACGACTACTTCAACGCGACCATCAACCTCCACTTCGGGACCTGCACAGACACCAAGAATCGTCGCCATGGCACGAACAACAGAGTCAAACATCGACTCGTGCATTACAAGTTCACCACCGACTTACAGTCCCGACGAGCGACCGTCACCGCCACCGTCATCCCTTAATGTGAATCCAACGTATGCCGCCATCGCAAATAGCGCACCCACCGGACCCGACACATGGTTCTTGGACAGCTGTTGTGGTCACCATATGTGTTCTTCATCACGGTTTCTTCAACGTGAACGACGTCTTCCGCGAGATGTCATCATTACCGTCGCCAACAACGAAAACCTGCGCACCAACAAACAAGGAATCGTGGAGCTTCAGTCGAATGAAACGAATGTCATTCTTCAATTAAACAAAGTGCTCGTCGTCGACAACCTTGGCTTTAACTTACTTAGCGTCAGCTAGCTCATGTCGAAAGGCATTCACCTGGAGTGTGACTCTGACGCCCGGGAAATTCGTCTTTACCACGGAAAAGGGGGGGTCTTCATCGGCCGCGCAATTAACCAAGCCGACGTCTTCGTTCTTGATTTCGTCCCCGACAAAGGCACCGCCGACAGTGACGGCATAGTCGCCTTCGCACCTTGGACGCACCCGCCAGATCTTGACCCGAACTTCAGTCCTAAAGGCTTCTGGTACTCCCGTACCATTCCCGAGGCTGAACGTACCAACGCGCTTGCCGTCCTGCAAACACAAGCAACACGTGAGTCAGTACCCGTCATCGAAACAACAACAACAGCCGAAACAGCACCAACAACCGCCGAACCTGTAGTCGAAGAACCAACCGTCGACGCGGAACCACTTTCCGAAACTCCACAGCCCGGTCCCTCAGTCGTGCCACCACCACCTCCCATCATCGACACGCCACCAACAGCCGCCCAATAGTTAACGCCAGCACCACGCGCCGTTCATCAAAGTGCAGCAACACACGCCGCCTTCTTCGCCATCGCAGACTTCTATCAACGCTCCGTCGGTCACAGCTGTCAGAACATTATAGCTTATGCTTTTGTGTAGGCTGTAGTGGGGTAGCCCATATGGGGTACAACCCAATTAGGGTTAGTACTTGTACCCAATTGTTTCATAGTTCATTCATTCTCATTCACATTTTCTCATGGTATCGAGCAGGTTCCCCCGTGGGAACTGTGCCTAGGGCCCACCACATCGACCTTTTTTTTTTCCTGCCCGAAGCGCGCTCCGTCCGAGTCGCACTTCGTCGAGCCGCCCTAGCGGCCCTTTCCCCTAGCGGCCCCGCCGCACGTCGCCTCGGCCCCGCCGCCCGTCACTTCGGTCCCGCCGCTCGTCGTCGCAGCCCCGCCGCCCTACCTCGCGGCCCCGCCGCCCTACCTCGCGGCCCCGCCGCCCTACCTCGCGGCCCCGCCGCCCTACCTCGCGGCCCCGCCGCCCTACCTCGCGGCCCCGCCGCCCTACCTCGTGGCCCTGTCGCCCTACCTCGCGGCCCCGCCGCCCTACCTCGCAGCCCCGCCGCCCTACCTCGCGGCCCCGCCGCCCTACCTCTCGGCCCCGCCGCCCTACCTCGCGGCCCCGCCACTCTACCTCGCGGCCCCGTCGCCCTACCTCGCGGCCCCGCCGCCCTGCTCAGCGGCCTCGCCGCCCTTCTGCACCGGCCCCGCCGCCCTACTCCTGCGGCCCCGCCGCCCTACTCCTGCGGCCCCGCCGCCCTACTCCTGCGGCCCCGCCGCCCTACTCCTACGGCCCCGCCGCCCTACTCCTCCGGCCCCGCCGCCCTACTTAGCGGCCCCGCCACCGTTCACCAGCGGCCCTGCCGCCCTACACCGCCCGTGCCGCCCGAGCTGCCAGAACAGCCCGAGCCGCCCGAGCCGCCCGAGCCGCCCGAGACACCCGAGCCGCCCGAGTCGCCCGAGCCGCCCGAGCCGCCTGAGCCACCCGAGCCGCCCGAGCCGCCCAAGCAGCCCGAGCCGCCTGAGCCGCCCGAGCCGCCCGAGCCGCCCGAGCCGCCTGATCAGCCGAGTCGCCGAGGCCGCGGAGCCGCAGTCGCTACGGTGCCGTCCGAGCAGCCGTGTTGCCGGGTTACTGCACTACTGAGCTGCCCGACTTGCCCTGTCTGGTGAGACCAGCGCTTCTGTCACTGCACTGCCCCTGTCCTACAGTTGGTCTCGCTAGTCTACTGCTGTCATGGCTTCCCCTAGTGTTCTCGCTTTTGACGCTGAGGGTCGAGCCATTGACTTTGAGGTTTGGGTAGATGACCTGCAGCTCTTCTTACAATGCGATAGGGCAGACGGTCTCTCCCTCTTTGACCTCACCTCTGGCGCCTCTCCTGCCCCTGCTGCTGATGCTGACCCCACTGTTCGCTCCTAGTGGGCCACGCGCGATGCTGCTGCACGTCTTGCTGTGCGTCGCCACCTGCCTACCACTGAGCGCGCGCACTTTAGTCAGTACAAGAGTGCTCAGACCTTGTACGACGCTGTAGTTGCGCGCTACTCTTCCCCTGCCACTGCTGCACTGAGCCGCCTCATGCTACCGTACCTCTTTCCTGACCTTGCTGCCTTTACCACAGTCGCTGACCTCGTTACGCACCTCCGCACTAGTGACACTCGCTACCGCGCCGCACTTCCTGCTGAGTTCTGCGCCAAGAATCCCCCCCCCATGTACATCACTCTCTATTATATAGTCACTCGCCTTCCTGACTCCCTTCGCGTAGTCAGGGACCACTTCCTCTC